CATTTAACTGCCTTTAAAAGCACACACAACCCACAATTCCTCTATTCGCTCTGACGAAGGGCTAACGCTCGAAACGTCAGCTTCTATAATCGTAACGGTGGCCAATTTACCATTTCAACTTTGTTGATATATTCAAATTATTTTTAATCAATGTTTGATGCTATTTGCATTTATTTTACATTGGAAAATTATCTAGATAATGTAAAGTCTGTACTACAAACAAGTCCTCGATGCGGGCAGATTAATGGCGACAACAAATATAATAGGAGGTGAAACACAGTTTAGTTTTAAGGAATTGGCTTTATCCACCTCTTTGTTAAATGAGTTGTATTAACCATCTAATTCTTTTACAGCAGTGCACATTCTCCTCTCCGTCACAGCATTTCTTGGGAATTCTCTGATCCTTGTTGCCCTTAACAAGGAAACTTCCCTCCATCCACCGTCCAAACTCTTGTATCGTTGTCTGGCAACAACTGATCTGTTGGTTGGTCTTGTTGCCCAGCCTCTCTATGCTACCTGGATCTTCTTGGATCCCTGGACTCTTGAGGACTGGAAGATTTTCGCTTACGTACAGAACGCGACCAATATTACAGGCTATTTGTTAGGTGGAGTGTCTCTTTTGACGATGACGGCCATAAGCGTGGACAGACTTCTCGCCCTGTTGCTGGGGCTGAGATACAAACAAATCGTAACTTTGAAGCGCACATTTATCATTGTAGCTACCATTTGGGTTTCAACTCTTGTTGCTTCTGTATGTGTAATTTTTGATTACCATATAACCATTTTGTACAGCATCATATTTACAGCAATTTGCCTGGTTATCTCAATCACCTCATACATAAAAGTATTTTGCGTTCTTCATCACCATCACGCTCAAGTACAAGATCATTCTCAACAACAGCCGAGCCAACCAAATGCACTCAACACGGCGCGATACAGAAAGGCAGTTTACAGTGCACTATGGACGCAGTCAGCGTTAGTTGTTTGTTATGCACCTCATTTTGTGCTGCGAATTATAGTCAGGCATAGTAAGACATATCCATTGCACTTACAGGTCATTGGGGAAATAGCAGTGGTCTTAGTTTACTTTAACTCGACGTTAAACCCGTTTCTTTACTGTTGGAAGATCAGTGAAGTGCGACGAGCAGTAAAGCAGACAGTCAGGCAAGCACTTTGCTATACTTGGGGATAGATCCCTTCTGCGTTGCAGTCGTATTTAGAAACTTTAGAAGCTGACTTTTATAGCCAATAAAGATTTAGAAATGCAAAGACTAGCAAAAACTAACGATAAAAACCGACGTTTCGGTGTCATCATGACGCCATTGTCAAGGAGAAATAATAAAAAAAATGAAGTTTGTGGCAAGGTGTAACACTAAATTAGCATAAATATGTTACGAGCTAATTAAACAAATACTTTTGCGCGAATTGAATCGCTTTGCACGTTCAGAGTGGGTTTTAAGTCTNAAGGTTTTTTTCATTTTTTATTATCTTTTATTACTTTTTATTACATTCTATTACGAAACTCTACAGAATTGAAAGACCTCTTTGAGACAATTGGTGCGCGATAGGAATTCGCTTATATGAACAACCTTTAAGGGAGGTTTGATACCTGTCGCCAACAGGACTCGATGAAGGGTTGATGGTGACAAAGCTTGCACCCAAAATCAATATTTTAAAGCAAGTATTGCCCTAGCATATTTTTTCTCAATTATCCAAGAAAAATATATGATTAATTTTCCTGACCTTCGTATTAGAAATCAAGAAAACTCCCAAATCAGCTTTTTTTAAGATTTACTCACCTGCATGTTCACCACGAATGTAAATCTTAGGTGCAGTTTCATTAAGATGATGTTGTGAATATTTCCCGATGAGCTCCTCCAAATCAGTAACGGAGAGAAGAGCACGTTTAATCTTTTCTTGATTTACTTCATATCCAAAGGAGTTTATCACTTCTTATAGGATGGTGTCGACAAGTTTCTTGTTTGGAAACTGAGGAGGCTAAAATAAAAAAAGAAAATTCGAGCAGGAATAAGGCGGTTAACATATATCATCTTGTAGCCTTACTCTTAAAGGAATAAATAAATTAATGGTTAGAAAGTTTATGAAAAAGCTCTGTAAAGAGTAAAATGAAAATTAGGCACTGTTGCACAAGAATCAATGCACTTACTTTGATCACTGTTGTTAGCTTAATGGCAGTAAAACCCCTTGCCCAGCAATGTTTCACTTTGATACTGCCAAAATACAACGAGTCTGTTGTGTTAATAGAAAGCTTTTTGCGAGGGTTTCTGCACCTCCACATTTGCTTACAGCACGATGTCCAATTGGACGACTGCCTGAAACAAGAAGCCAACTGCTCACACCAAGATTCACAACATCCCCGGTCAATAGATGTATCTGTCTCATTGCGACAAATGATCCTATGCCAGTTCTGACGCCATTGGCCAATACACTGCTGGCAGTCCATACCGATCAGCTGTGAGTAACTGAGTGTTTCGTTAAGGCTGGAGCAATGCTTATCTGCGTTGCAAAAGTGAACATTTAGTAGAAACATTTTAAAACATCTACGATTTTCCTCGTTTGCACACATACTGTCTTTTATTCTTTTATATTATCATTTTTTTTGTAGATCAATTTTTTCCCACTCACGTCTTGTTTCTTGGACTTTCAGGAACAAATTATACTCGGTAAAGACTCATAGCAGTTTCTTGCTTTTACCTTTCTGTTTAATAGTTATCAGTTTCCAATTTTTACTTTAAGCTCGCTAAAGGCAGAAACGAGTGGTTGGTATTACTAGTTTATGGAAAAACACAAAGTTATTACGATGGTTAGACCCTCAGTTTATTCTGACTTCAGCTGTCTTTTTCTATTTTATTATCTTCTATCTGTTTAATGGTTTGGGATAGGGAGCTACTTTGAAATTGATGTCACAGTCTAAAGTTTATAGGCCAAACCTTCCTCTTTGTTTGTTTGTTTGTTTGTTTTTTTTTGTTTACCTCTTTTGTGGGGACAATTACCAGCAATAACAAATCAGTGATCTTCCCGAGTAATTCGCTTCTTAACATCTATTAGGCGATAGATGATGTTTTGTTTAACCCTTGACGGCAGAGACGAACACTTTAGATAATGTTGAACCCTTAAAAATTCCCTATTCCTTTTTCCGACAAAGAAAATACAAACCTTGAGCTGAAATTAGCATGGCCTTAGTCGCTGTGGGAGAGAGGAAACCAGACAAATGTAAACCACCAATCATAAAAAGTAATTCCCTAATTCAGAGCCATGCCAGGTAAGGGGGGGGGGGTAGTAGGGGGGGTTAGGCAGATGAATTAATTGCGAGACAAGCACTACTATAATAAGATGCCAATGGGGTGCACTCAAAATGTGCAATGCAAATTCGATTGGGTGCAAAACCTCCCTAATTCGGTGTAAGAGTTTACTTACAAAGGGTTTCCTGAAAGTTAACTAGGTGGCAGCAACTACTAACATCTGGGAGGTGCCAAAAGAGGTGCCAAAATTAAAGGAATTTTCCTGTCTATAAGTTTGAACTCCTTAAGGCGCCGATTAAATCGTTCCACATGAATTCTAGCTTTGGCAATCCGACGGGTTTCCAGTTTTTCTGCAACACTGAGACTTTTCCTCCCTTTCAAAAATGGTGAGATTTTCAGTTCCCCTTGTACAGGATTCAGCAGCTCACGCATTGTAAAACCACGGTCAGCCAACACTAAGTCATTAGGTTTCAGGTACCTCATGATACCATTCTTCTTTGAAGATTTGGACATCATCAATATCCCCTTCAAAAAAAATCAGACACAAAGCAGGCACCACCATTTGGGGTCACTGCGATGAGACATTTGAATATGTTGGTGTGTTTGTACAAAGAGAAAGTGTTACCCTGCCTGGCAAAGTTCCTGTAACATTCTACTGGAAATTCTGTACAGTCCACAACACACCTTATGTTCTTCCTAGTTTTGAAAACCTTAGGCAGGAACTTCTTGAGTTGTGATCTCTGCGGAAACATGTAACTGTGCATGTCTCTAAATGATTTATACATCAGCTGAATGTTAGTATCTTTCGCAGCTGGGTTTGCTCTGTATTTCTGTCCGGGGTGCTGAGAAGAGCTGCCAAAGTCCTGAGAGAAAAACCTCTCCTCAGTCTCACCAGGCAGATAAATGGTTGGACTCTTGTTGAAAACTGACAATTTGGGCCCGTGTTTGCTTTTACCATCGCAGAGGAAGCCTCACAGGCTTATTTAACGGATAAACATGGTCAAGGAGATTATGGAGAACTTCAAACTGTGAAGATGTGAGGCCAACGAAATATTTCATGAGGGATGAATTTTTCACAGTGTTTTCGTAAGACAGACTACTTACGATCTTGGGAGCCTGATAATGTGGTCTCTTCAGGGCGACTTTGTTCTTCAACCTCCTTGTGTCAACCTTGGCAGAAAGAATGTACTTAGAAAATGCAGTCTGTGAGCCTTGATCAACGACCAAACTTCCAGTCACAGGGTTTTCATACACGTGAACACAGACATTATCTTCAGTTACTACTGTTGAATCGGTTGCAGGCGTCATAGAATACTTAGTTTCCTCTAGTTCGTCTATCGGCAAAGAAACGTCTAATTCCTTTTCACATTTATCCCCAAGAAGCAATTCTCTCTTACTCACTTGCTTTCATCTTGGGTTTGGTGCCTTTCGCTTTCGAGCACGTGCGCGACTGGCTTCTGCTGGCTTTAGATTTGCCTTTAGACGATCGGGATGTTCCCTAGTGGGGCCTTTTTCGCCGGGCCAATCAAGGGCACAAATGTACGTATTTCTTGAGATATTCTTTTCGGTAAAGAATTCCCTCGAACAAGCCACTAACCATCTTCTGCACTTCTCGATGTCTTGCGTCGGTTTAGGAAATGGGATGAAAGCTTTCTTTCCGGACTCCTTCAATTCTTTGAGCGATTTTGGCCATTTCTCCGGGTACCTTGAGTCGGTTTTGCAATTACCCCAACAGAAATCCTTGGTACCAACCATTGTTCTTCCTTCGAGGAAGTACAGACCGCGATTTGCTCGATTTTTTACAAATTTTGCTCACATACTGTCGCCAACCGGCATACATTCACTTATGATAGATCGCAATGTTTGTCTGAGTCACGCGGGGGTCTGATGAGACGAGATCTATTTTAGAAATAGTGCGCGACGCCATTGGCTCTTTTACTCCTGAGAATAGATGCAATACCCGAGAATGTATCGACGGAGACTTCCACTTTCTAGCATATATCCTGCAATTATGATTCTTAGCTTTATATCTATACTTTTTTTTAACTAAACTTTTATGTTAAAAGATATAGCATTAAATTGATCACGTGGAAAAAAGCTGACGCGCTAATGGTATAGTTTATGCAAATTTTAATCTTTTAATATTCACATTCAAGATGTACGCTATCTTGGCTTTGAATCAAATTTAAAATTGCGAAGGATGACGTATTTAAATAGTGTATTGATCTAGAGCAAAAAGCTTAATCGTCGCTTTTATTGTCATCCGAAATAGGATCTTGTTTCTATCACTTTTTTCGTAATAATCATGAGGAAATTCATTTTACTTAAAGCACCATTAGGCTCTACCTTTTTTCTGTTAAGTTTTAAATTTTGTAGTTGACGTTTTGAAGCTCGACCCTACACATCTGGTTTGATGCAGTTCGTAGCGCTCTTTCTTAGTGTATTGTTATTCTAATAAGCGAACGAGTTATTTTTTCTTCAAATAAGTTGCATGTTGATTCTTTTGTTTCTATCAAATACGGAAGCGCGTGTTTCAAATCTAAGGAAATCGGAGCGAGAAAGGCGATTATCTGAATACACTTTGAAGCAATATTAAGATGGCTTTGTATCCTCATATAAAAATTCTGGTATAGGCCAATCATTATTCAATTAGAAATGAGTCGCAAAACTAAAACACATTTCAACTTTTTTTCTTTGAAGGGGTGTTTTGATAAACTGCTGCAAGTTCCGTTTTGATAGCATTTCCGCTTTGATCATGATCGCAAAAGAAAAAAAAAAAAAAAAAAAAAAAAAAAAAAAAAACTACCATCACTTTTTAAAATATTTTGACGGTGCCTTTCGCCATTAACTGATTTTTAAGGACATTACTGATCCATAAAAGCATAATTGTCCTAGCATATTTGTACATTTAGTTTTTTCAGTTAAAGATTCTTAAATTGAAATTAGAGTGTGGTTTCTGTCGGTAAGTGACAAAATTTTACAAAAGTATTATAAAAGTAAATACCTTTTTGGGGTTTTTCTTTGAAGTTCTAATGACAAGGCAAGTTGCCTCTAATGATAATTTTGATCAGCGTATGACGTTACTCACCTAGAATGAACGTCGCAGCCTGAAATATGCTCGCCAAACCAGATAGCATTTTGATTATCCCTCCTGTTTGCACTCGATGAGACCACTCTATCAATAGATGAAACTCCTCTCAATTGATCCACTCCCAATGAATCAAATATGACGAAAAATATATATTCACTCGAGGAGCTAATGATTCATCCAGTGTGTTTTTATCCACATATCATCCCAGTTATATTACTGGTTATCACCTGCTCTACAATTTCCTCGTAGTTACTCGGCAATTTAGCACGCAATGCATTACTTGATATTCTAAATACAGTATATCATTATTGACCCATTGACTTATTAATAAGTTTTTGTTTAAGAGTTTAAGAGCAGAAAGACTTAGGGATAGAGTATCGTGCCAGCTAGATGATTCAAAAAAAAAAAAGAAGCCGCTTGAAGGGTACCTGCCGTATTATGTCATCTGCAAGATAGCAGCATATGACTACAACTACCAGAATCCTTCAGGTTTTTCCTTGTTGCATTGTTTTGTTATTTTCAGTTAGGGCTTACTTTATTACAAGCCTCTCTAAGTCAACTAAAGTTTTATTTCAAAATCAAATAATATTAAACTTTGCTATGGATAGCTATCGAGAAAATGCTCATTAAAAATATTAAAAAATATAGAATCGAATAAATAATAATTATAATGAGTATAGTCGTAACAATGAAACTTATGTTAATAATATTAATCTGACTAAAAATTTCTATAAACTACTCCTAAAAACTATGATAATACATCGTGCTTTGCTTTCTCCGAAAAATCGAAAAGCTCAAAATACAGCTAGATGGCAACTACCCCTCCCCCCTCTGCGAAATAATGAAAAATTATGCAACTCCGGCAACTTCCTACGCCCCAACGCGATGTAATTCTGCTCTTAAATTTTGTGTGCTTGCAGATGCTCCTTTTTTTCGTTTTGGAAGTATAAATTAATTGTGATGTTGTTATGCTCAAGTCTTAGACAGTTAGAAATAAGGTACTTTGTGCCTTTTTCGCAACGGTAAAATAAAGGTCAACTTAAATGGCAAGGGTCTGCCACATATAACGGGGTCTGCCATATATATTTACAGATCATAAGATACATCGTCTTAAAGCTATATTCTTATTGTCTAAAAATAGAGAGTCCCTTAAAAAAAGAAAAAAAATTACAGATCTAACTTTATCAGTTTATAAATAAACAAATAAGCAAATAGATGCACAAATTTAAAAAAAAAAACAGTAGAGATTTAAAAAAAAAAAAAAAAAAAAAAACTGAAGAGGTCGTTTTTATCGAATGGTAGGAACCAAAAGCAGTACACTTCTTTTTTTGCCATGAATGTAGGGTTGTGTCATAACAACTTAGCCAGAAATCTTCTATTCTCTTTTTCTGTCTCCGATCGTTTGCTCGTCTAAAAGTCATTTTTCAGAACACAACTCTATCCGTCAGACTTAACAGATTCACGATGACCCTATTATTACTGTTAAACAGTGCTAAGGCTTTGAAGATAAAAAGAGAAGTGCGAAAGAACGTCTTAGATAATCTTTTCGGAATGGAAGGGTGGGTCTGGTGTCTGAAGGTTAATCTGAGTCATCCTTAGATATGGAGAGACTTTTAAGTATTTCTGACGCTCATCTTATTAGAAGTACGTTCACATCTTATCCAGTGAATAGAAAACTGCTATAAAGTTTACTAGCACTTTACCTGAGTAGAGTTAAGGATTACAAAAATGTAGTAGAAGGCGATGTGTAGTGGCAAAAGGAAACCAATCAGCCATGTGATACCCAGCAATGGAGCTAACACTACGCATGCGCGGATGCCCAGCCTGTAATAGACCAAATGACAAAATATTTCATCTGAATTCCTACCTCATTCCTTTTCAGCAGAAATAAGGGAAGACTACAATTCTAAGTTTAAATGAAAGTTATAAATACTCTGGACAATGACGGGGGTGACACAATAAGCCGTTTGAAGGCTGTCCATCGAAAACGCAAAATCTAAACAACAAGGAATTATGCGAGACTATTTGCAGTCTTATCTCGCCACTAAAATAATTAGCTTTACAGAGGCATTACAGGGAGAAACATCTCTTATCATCCCACCTGATCTGCTCAGTCTGGTTATCCTTCACCTGCTGGATTGTTGTCATTTTTTTTGGATAACTCGCACAAGGATCACCATGTTGATCTTGAGGGATTTAAGAGGAAAAAAAAAAAGAGAGAATATAAGAACAGAGAAAAAAGAACTATCAGATTTTTTTGTCTCTCTAGCTTCTGCTGTAGGTTTTTCATAAAGGACTTTGAAAGACTCATCAAGAAAACTAATGATTGTCAAAATGTTGTTGAAATCAGTGTTGAAACAAATGTTTCAAGATGAGTATGTCCATTTTCATTGAAAAAAAAATTCAATCTACGGCAACTTACAATTGTGATGAGTCAAACGAAGGAAACAAATATCCAGATGATATTGTTAGAGGAGGACATCCAGCATCTTATAATCAAAACAATAAAGGGCACAGGTCTAGCTTTCAATTTTGTTTAGTCCTAAAGGAATTAGGGGGCATTTCATGTCAGAATGTGAAATCAAAACCAAAGGATGGGGTAGCATCAGTGCCTTTATATTACTTTGCAAAAATACGCAAACCATCTTTCTGGATGATAGCTTATAAAGTTTCCCGGTCTAGCACATGGAGAGACTGATCCACAGTTTGCAAAAAGGGAGTAGGTGGTGAAAACGGTGAGGCAGACGCCATTTTAGAAGGCCAGAAGGGGGAAGGAAGCAGCTGATATCAAGTTTCTTTAAATTTAGCATCTGTTCTTGTGTTCCCTGAGTCCTTGATAATGATTTACCGATATCATGAGGCAGGTAAAAGAGAAATTGACAGCAGGGCGCTAAATTCCTTTTTTTCGTTGCCCCCTCAACACTTTGGTTTTTTTGGGGGGTTCACGTTTCCAGACTCTCACCACTTTTTTAAACGGTTGATAAAATTAGAAAACAATCAAACTTCAAACTTACTTTTTATCAGTAACATAAGTTTCTATTCCATCTTTTAGTGCTGCAATACCCAGGGATGCAGCAACTATGATTGTAGGAAGTCCTGAACCAAAATAAACAATAGAAAAAGTTATCTTAAACTAGTAATTAAAAGCTACTAGTTTATGTATGACAAGACAACAAGAATAATCGAGGGTACAATTTTAGGATTTGAATGAACCGACGCCCCTAAGTTATTATGTGAAAATATGAATTTTCAATTTGATTTTTATATTGTTCACCCTTAAAACATTTTGTTTGTGGGTATAACATTACTAAAACGAATCGAATTACATAATAGCAGCGTGTTTTGGCCAATAAGATCAACTCCGGTGACATTCTGCAAAAACCCAGGTCTAGCCAGCTCTGGAAATATTGTACGCCTTCTTTCATTTCCCATCAAGACCATCCAATGATTTTCAAAAGGTGCAGGTGTTCATTTGATGACGTAACAAATATCGTCATTACAAGGAAGTTTGTTCAAATGAAGAGTTCTCCTGATGTTTTAATGGTAACTATCTTTTTCACTCTCTAACCTCTATTTCCACTCTAAAAGCTATTTCTGCATTGGTTTTTAGCCAATCGAAATCAAGATATCCTGTTAAGCACTATAT